TACCCGAATACTTTTCTCGAACGCTTAAATGCTAGTTAGGACACATTCTCGTTAGATTGTGTGCTAGGCTAGGACTAAGGTGCAAAGTAGTATTTTCGACACCTATAATTATTGTTCTCTGTTGGATTTGTTGTTCGACTAAGGTGCAAAGTAGTATTTTCGACACCTATAACTATTGTTCTCTGTTGGATTTGTTGTTCTAGTCAAGTGTCACTTTTGTGTTTTTTGGTGTGCTTATGTTTTATATGCATCGTAGTATATCAAAGCATTATTTTGTAGGAAGTCATGTCTATATATATGCACACAACACAAATACCATTAAAGGGGAGCATTTGATGATTTACATTAGCATTTTGTTTGCAGGTGTCATTTAGTTCCTCCCGATAAAAATACACGGCTCACTATACGTTGCAAGTTTGTTGGTTTTCCCACTAACGTTTTCATGTAGGTCGAGTCTTTTTTTCTTCTGTTCTTTTAGAGTCCTATAAGAGTCTTGTATTAGAAATAAGGTATGGACACGAGTTTCAAGGTGTCGGGCGGACGAAATCACGTGACGGAGACCAGAAGCAGTAGACTCGTGTCCCGCATCTTATTTTTAAATCTCATTTATGCATAGAATTATAATTAGACGTGTACTTATGCAGTATTTGGCACCTTTTTTTTTAGATATGTTGTCAACCAGCGACAACCGGTTTTTCGTTATTTTTGGCTTGTTTAATGTTTTTCTTGTATGTTTGCATGCTTGAATTATTCTCTTATTTATTTATAGTTGATCTGGGATGTTACAAAAATTATAATTTAGGCTTATTAAGAACCTTAAAATTATAAATTTTCTACTCAAAATTCTAATAATAAAATATTCAGATGATCAAAATTAATGAATTCAAATTGTTAGGACTTTCAAAAACCTGTTTTATTTTTCTGCATGACATTCGGATCAGTTCTTAAACGGGATGCATAGCATGACTCTCACTCAAGTCATACTAATAGGGTCTCCACATTGGGACTTGAATAAATAACTACATCATTTTGCATATCCCGATGAGAAGGCATGGTGATTCTTCAACTCGACTAACCGAACATACATTTTTACTTAGGTGGTTTTCCAGTATGCTTAGGTCGTTAGAAGCTCCCCGACAGAGACGGGGTGTAAGTCTTTTTGTTGGGAGTGTTTCAAGCTTTGTAGTCGAACCTCCCCTTTCTCTTATTTCCAGCAGAATCTTTGTCATTTCGACAGGTATAAGTTTCACCTCTTGAAGTTCCACCTGATGTCATAAGATAAAGTTTCGTTTATTTGACCTTAGGGCTACCACGGAAGACGTCATTCACGGATTATTAACTAGAGATCATTAGATGTGTTGGGTCGACTATCTTCACGAACATATAAACTTAGGGTCCTAGCGACTTGAGATGATGGGTCTGTAGTACCTTGACTCGGCCACATTTACCTGTTTAGGTATTACTCCTCTTCCTTCGACTACCCACTTTAAGCCTTGTCGCTCCTCTTATTTTCGTTGATATTGTCTTGATAGCTCGATTACCGATGAGTTGTTATCTGTTTGGGATACGTCAATTTGTCATTTGCCCTTATGGTCTAAAAGTTCTTTGACATATCAAGATACTATGTCGAGATGATCTAGTTATTTCTTAAGCTCTGTGTGCCGATGAGCCTATTACCCATGCAGTACTGTGAGAGACGCATTCTTTGCCCCATGGCTTAATGGGAACTTTGAAAACATCGGAATATTTTCCTGCGAAATAACCATCCTTTGATAGTCTTGTGCAGTTGTTACTTTTAATGTAAGCAAAACTCATTTGAATCAAGAGTATTTTTTGACAACCACCACGATGTAGATACATCCCCTTGGTAGTACGCTGGGCCCCAGAACAAACAAACACACATGAATCTCTAGTTGTGGGAAGCATTTATATGCATTCTTTTGCGGATATTTGGCACAAGCCATTTCGGCTCGATTTTGTTCAGACGTATTTGTTTGACCTATACTAGCAAGGTTTGTCGTACAGAAGTTCTCCGCGTTCTTTTTCTTATTTGTCCGCTTTTATCGTGTGTTCTAATTTTCTGGTTCCTCGCTTCTCCTGATAATTCACATGATCCGGAAGATAGACTTATTCGGAAAAGGAAAGTATATGTCGATGGATAAACTGACGAGTCTTTTAAAAATAAAAAAGAAAGAAATGAAAACAAACTTGAAGAAAAAGTTTTATTAAAAATTTGGAAGTAGCATTGAAGATTCTCCAGAAAAGAATGATTGTGACAAAGCTATAGACATTTTAACTCTGTCTTAATTTTAACATATCAAAAAAATGTTAGATATAATCAATATGATGAAAGCAAAGAAGGTATGATACAAGAGTTAACCGAAACAATAATAAGAAAAATAAATATAATTACTAACAAAGTCAATAGGCGGTTACAACCCACACACTAAAAGGGAAACGTAACAATAAAAACAAACAAATACAACTAAAGTGTATCCCAAGGGTGAGGGAGATCAGTGAGGTAGGCTGGAATGGGTAGGTTGAGATGTTGGAAGGTAGCAGATTCAGCAGGTAAGATTTCTAGGGTGTGGATGAGGTGTTGTAAGCTTGTGGGTGGTTGGAACATCAACAAAACAACGAAGGAAATGTGTTGTTGTTAGCAGCAACGAAGGTGGAGGGCTGGGAGAGAGAGGGCAGCGAAGCGGGAGGTCGAGACAGCAGTTGGGAAGGGGGAACTGTAGTAAAACAACAAGGACAGCTGGTCTGGGGCAGATATAGCAGGGAAGTATGCTATGAAGCAAGAGAGTGGTGTAGGAAGAGGCGTTGTCATAGCAGGTACAGCGACAACGACAACAGGTACAACGACGCAACACCAAGTTTAGCGACGACGGCAGGAAAAGTCAAGAATAATCACCACCTCGGAACGAGATACAGCCCGAGCACCACACAACCTTGGATACAACCCTAAAAAAGGAGAAACCCAAGCGTCGATGGTTGTGCGGATAGAAAACATAAGCAAAACTCCAATCTAAAGCCGAATACAACAAATATATAGAATAAAACTAGAAAGAAATGAAAAAAAGGAGGAAACTCGCTAAAAATTGTAAAGGAATTGAAAATGGGTCACTCGGTCCAGTTCTGTGCCGTTTGTTTGAACCAGTGCACAAACGTTTGACTCGTGAAGCGAGAGGTGCCCGCATCATCCCTTTTTTCAATCATTTCAAGCTCTTACTTGGAGTAGAAAAAGAGATCAACTACATGAATAAACTCACTTATGCCTTAAAAAATTAGATCTTTTTGCATATGCAGTGGCATGCATAAGTTCGAACATTGTTCATGTAAAAGGAGATGTCAATCAATATATGTCAAAACAACAAAAGAATACTTGGAAGCTATAAAGTATATGTTACACTACTTAAAAGGTAAAATGAATCATTTGTTGTAATTCAAAAAAACTTATATGAAAGTGCAAGGATTTGTTAATGTTGATTTGGAAGGAGAGCAAGGCATAAAAAATGTACCACTATTGAGTGGCACTTTACAAAATTAGAGAAGCTAAATGTGTTGTCGATCATAGAGGTAAAATATGGAGTGGTTACTATAACTTGCAAGGCAATGATTTGGCTTAAAGATGTTTTAAAGGAACTAAAAAATATGCAAAAGCATGTTGCACTCTTCCATGATAATCAAAGAGCAATCCACCTAGCAAAGAATTTTGCCTTCCACTCCATGAAAAAAATACAAACAAGTAAACTGCGACGTCATTCACAACTTGTTAAAAGAAGATACTTTGTAGCTAAGAAAGAACAAATTAACAGCAAAACTTGCAAATATGCACGCCAAGGTCGTACAAATAAACTAACGCTTTGTGTGAGGCCTCAATCAACCTCCATAAATGTTGATATTAAAATGCCACACCAAGAGAAGCTTGGACATTACACACAAACAATATAAAAAAAAAATTCTGTATCCAAATAGGAGATCATTAATTTTGTTGAGCACAAATTTTCTCCTATTCAAATCTACACAAGATAGATTCAATATCTCCTATTTAATGCAAATATTTGACAAATTATTTTTTGCGGGCTATAAAGATCTTAAAATATTTTAAGTGATCTTGTAGTTGATTCCCTATTTTCTTATCCTTGTAATCCTTCATATATAAGATGAGATTTTGGGGAGAAGGCATGGCGCAATCCATGACAAAATAATAACCGAAATAGGGAGAAAGGGAAGAGGCCCAACTCATTGGAAGGAAGAAGATTGAGTGGAGAATTTGCTGCAAATTGAATGTTCTCTGTTTTAAGAAATTGAGAACAGCAGCCTGTTTTTAGCACAGAGAATAGTGAGGATGTTTTCGATTTTTATAAGGGAAAGATAGAGAAGAATTTAAGTGCTTTAAGCTTCTTAAGATGGGTTGCCTGCTAGGATTGGGAAGCAGAGAATAATCTAAGAATGAATTAAGAAGAGAGTATTGTAGTTTATCTTCTATCCACATCAATATCTCCACTATCAACATCTCTCCAGATTCCTCATTTACCTTCTAATGGCAGCTAGTGGTAAAATAGTTTCACCTCATCCATTATATTAGTGACAAACTTGATGTTTTCTCCGCTTCAATGTTTAGAGAATCTTTGATCTTTTTGTGTCTATAGAAGTAGGTAGATCTCGCCGAATCAAATAAATCTTACGCTAGTAAATATGACTCCGCAGAAATTACTTACTCCTTCATGATTCATTCTACTTTATCCTAACAAAAGCGTTATTTCTCCAATATCTATAAGCAAAACAAAATAAAGTCAAAGAATGAGCACTTGGAAAGTTTCAAAAGCTCCCATCTCTATTTTAAATGTTGTCAGCATAAATTTCACAGTTCGCAAACATATTATCAATCCAACAGCAAACAATGACAGCAATTACACAGTGGAGAAGCTAAAACTACCAATATTGCCAATACAAGTGAAAAGGCTGAAAAAGATAGGCAGAGAGAAGGGAAGTACCACTTTGTTAGATACATTTGCAATGCTGCTTTGATCTGCAATGATAAATTAGCATTCAAACCAAGGAATACACAAGCTAAAGTGGAATGACATGAAGCAAGTAAAGTTCTTGAACATACCAAATAGTAAAATGCAAGCACTACAAAAAAATAAACATTTTGATTCTGTTAAATAGATCAGGTTAAAAAAAAAAAAACTACATTCCTAAGATATTTCCCATCTAAGCTGGTCTTACGGCAACAACTGAAGAGCATTTTTGGTCTCAAGCAAGTGTTGAAACTAAGATCCAAAGTGAGCATGAACATTGATGATAAATGGGGACTTGCTTAAATAGTTATATACCATGTAAATAAGTTTAGTGATAGCATTACAATTATTTGAGATAAGTTTGAAAGCCTGGCATAGTGTAAAGGCCGTGCAAACATTTGTCATTGATGTTTGAAATAAGTAGAAACATAATAGTAAATAAAATATTAGCAAGCACTAACTTGAAATAGAACAATAGAGTGATAGATAAAAGTAATAAATAAATAGCTTAACAACCAATGTTTCATTTTCCTCATGTATCAAAGAAACAGAGGTTACTTGTAACACCCTTGATGGCAAAAGCTTGGCAGGTGATAACATGCACCCTTTGTTAGTCCAGAAATTAAATAAGATAAAATGATGGCTAGTTAGGGTTTGATGTTCATGCAAAGGAGTGCTACTGTTATGCATTGATTGGGAGAAAATGCACCGATGAGAAAGTGCTTCATAGGCTCTAGGTGCTCGGTGTGTAGGTGCAGCCCACAAGCACACAAATGACATGTACTATTTTAAAGAATTATTCTCTTCAGAAATAAAATATTACAAATGAACCTAAAAATTTTTGCTCCCACTAAACCAATTGTATCCATGCATCCAGATCATAGTTCATAAATCTCTAAGCTTGATAAATTAGAGGACTCAATATATAAGAGGATCAAACTATTTATGCTCTCTCTTTTTATTGTCATATCCGAAAAAAAGGTCTTATCCAAACCTATTATTTTTAGCCAATTATGTGCTACAATAAACTTCCTTGGAGCAATAAAAATAGTTCTTCCTGCTCAACAGCTAGATCAAACCAAGCATCTATAATATCCAACTTGTCTTGTCAAATCTTTTTCTTTCTGATAAGAATAGTTTATTCAATTCCCTCTGGAACCATACTTGAGAGTTTACAACATACAGCTAACCATTTGATTCTTTTTACATTCAAACTCGGGTAACTTATATGTGATATCATAATTACTTACCTCACTAAAGCTACCAAAAAAAGCCATCATTAACTATTTATTGTTTAGTCATAATCTCAAAAGAGCCAATATCAACAATCATGACATTGGGACACTATTTTGTGATACTCTATTTTGATACCGGATCTAGTAGGAAGAACAGTGGAACACAAAGACAAACTTTATTAATGTAGAAAGAGGATTACAACTCGATCCAAAAAAGAAATACAATAATAGGCGAATCTCCCGGTTAGGGATGTAAGAAGATGTCCGAAGGCGGTGTTGGCGTCGATGGGATGGTAGGGCAAGATAAGAGATGAGGGGGGTTGTTTGAGTAGTTGTGATGGTGTTTGGTTGGTTGTCGATAGATAGGACAGTAAGGTTGTAGGGTTAGGATGAGTGGCGGTAGAGTGGTGGAGGCGTATGGGGGTGGTAGGCAGCTAGGGGAGAGGTAGCAAAAGGAATCGGTGAGAAAAGATGAAGGAGATTGTAAGTTTAGAACACCACCTCGGAGCAAGATACAACCGAACCATCACATATTGCCGGATACAACCCTAACAAAAGAGAAAAGACTCCACACAGGAGATTAGCATCACAAGTGCCTCTTACCCACAGGGGACAACCATTTATAGCATTCTACTTCTACTAAAAAAGAAGGGTTGGAAAGGACAAGAACATTCCAGAGAAGAAAACACTTAGAAGAAGACAGTGTGGAATACTTGCGAGACAACCTCCCTTAATCGTGAAAGATCGCGGCTTGTGATCCTTCACAAGGGATCGCGGCTCCCGCAAAGTGTCGTGGGGTTCTGGTCCCCGCTGGATCGCCCCTGCTTCGGGCACATACAGCACCCGCGTCATACTTTGTCCACCATTGGCAAAGAAAATAATCAAACCATTTTCACTTTGTAATCTCAATTAAACCACAGCTACATAATCTTTGGCACAAGTATGGAAAATGCATGGAGGGCGGGGCATAGCAGTTGTTAGAAGATTCTACAATCAAGAGAGCGCCTAAGAACAAGTCAGATGGACTTAATGATCCTTAGAGGATTTGAAATTGCTCAAGCTCTGGAGGTGGAGAAAACATTTGGTGAAAGTTGTCGATCATCTCAAGGGCACACATGATGTTGTGCATAAATCAAATAAAGTGGAAAAAAAGTTAATCGATGATGATTAAACACAATTCTTAGGATGTATGAGATTGAAACCTGGAAAGGCACTCAATAGTAGCTAAAGATCTTTGCTTGTGCGCATGGATGTGCAAACAGTGAGAGTAGCAAAAGAGTTTTTCATAGCAGTGAGAGACTTATGTTGTTACTTTGAGGCAAGTGCCTTCTTGGTGAAATTGCATGCTAAAATCAAATTGAATAGGTATGCAAGTGTCTGTATCTATTGTGTACCATTTTATTTTGGCTTTTGCTTGAACGACTAGTCATCATATTTTAGAGGCATTTACACATGTACTACCCAATTCCCATGTATGTACATATCTAACAACTGAATTTTACTTTTTACATTTATACCACCAATTTTATTTGATATCCATCAAAATGCCACCATTTTAACTTCTAAATAAGTGAAACATACCTTCTCATGCATAGGTAAAGTGCAATGTATGTAAAAAATTGAAGTTCAGGTGTTACATATCTAAATACACAGGAATTGAGTGGTATGTATGTAGATCTTCCTTTATTTTATTATAGGAACCATTAATAGTGTTATCTTATTTTCTCTGTACCATGTTGCCATGTAATCTATGCAATTTGACTATTGTATGCTTTGTGTCTGTTGTGTATGCACCAAACCTCATTCTAATGTTTGTAAAAGGTTGACTCTAAGAATTTGTTTTAGATTACTTAACATTGAACAACTTTTGGTGTTACCCTTCAACTTTGTGATAATTGATATTGTTGTATGATTAATAACATTTTACGTAGTTGAAGGATTCAATAATGCAAGGCATTGTTGTCATCCAAGAGGGATGCATTAGTAATTTTATAGCCTATGAATTTAAGGAGATTTCAATACTTGCATGAAATTAAAGTTTGGAATAAATGTTTCCTCAAACTAAATCCTATTATGATTTATGAGCAAAAAGTGTGAAGAAACTTGAAATTTTTTTATGAGACATAAATATCTTACTACGACAAACAATAGAGTTATTGCAAAGAAAAAGGAAAAATCTATCATCAACAATTATGGCTACATAAAATTAAATTGATTTCAAAACAAACACGTAAAATAGGGAAGCTTGAGTTAAGAACAACTACTGTGTAGAAATGATGAGGGGCCGGATAGATAAAGTTACAAATGCTACATAAATTATACTTATCAGGTACATCGTCAAGGAATAAAGAAGCTTTCCTCTTTTGGCATTGAGTGAAGCTAGAGATCTATAGTTACAATGACTGTTGGATATGTATTGCTCTTCCAAGAGGTCGACCCATAAGCATAACATCTAGCTAATATTAGACGCACAGCTACCAAACCTCCTGATTTGTCAAACTTTGACCATCTAGAATGAAGAGATCAAATGATTGGATGTAGACTTAATGAAGTATCAGATTATTCAGCCTACTAAATTGGCTTATGATAGCCTATCATGATGGTTCTGAAGAAAATAGACACATCAAAACAACCATATCATTGCCATGAATTGATGACTTGTTGCAACAACTGAATATGGCAACCATTTTTATCAAGTTAAATCCCAAATCTAATTACCACCAAGGGTGCATTAATGAGATGGACAAATGAAAGACTACCTTTAAAACTAGACAAGGGTTATACGAGTAGTTGTTCATGCAATTCAGATAAGTACTTGGCCATGAAGTTTTATGACCACGTTTGCATGATCTTTATCTTCCAATTAAATTATCTCTTAATCTTCAATAGCTCATAAGAAGAGCACCCGAAACATTTGTGGTGCTCAATTTAGTAGAGAAAAATCAGCCCCATCTTAACCAAATAAGTATGAACTCACTGACAAAATCCATCCTCTATCTTGAATTTGAGGCGGGCAAAGGACAGGTCAGTATTAGTCCTGAAAAGGTGAAAGCGATCAAAGGCTATTCCAATTATGGACAGCGACAATGTAAAGAGTTTCATGGGAGCTAACCAATATGTTCTTAAGATCAACCATCATTTTTCAGTGCTTGACTACTTTACACGTTTTGATCAAGGTCAATGCTAAAATAGAATGGAGCAAAAAAAGCAAGCTGATGTATTTCGCTTGTCGATGAAAACAATAATGTACCCTTGTGTTAGCCTAATCAAATGTATGCTGACCATCTGAATTGGGGAGGGATGTTAATGGATATACTGGGTGTTGTACCAACGCATAATAGGAGACTCATTGCTTACTATTCTGAGATGTATGAAGGCGCTCAAAGAACCAACCAATTTATGTCAATATGTTGATCACTTCAATATTTACACACTCAAATCAGGTTACAGTAGAATGACTTACCTCAAATAATTTAATCTAGTGATCAAGTATAAAAATGAGGTAAACAGTTAACATGCTCTCCTGACGATCTCTAATGCTTTCTTAGTTAAGTATTATCATGCATGTCAAAACTTTTACGCATAAAGTTTACCAAGAGCACTAAAAAATCCATTTATCAAGGGAATATTGGAGGACTTGAAGAGGGCAACTTCTTTAGCGTTTTCCTTAAAAATGTTCTTCTATACAAAAAAGGCCATTAGTGCATGTCAAATTCTATAAATCAAATTCAATGGATGTAAGAGGCAATCACATAGAAAATTGTTGGATACTTCTAAGTAGAAAAGACAATGCAAAACTTCTCAATATACATTTATTGCCCTAAACATGCAGCAAAATCAACCAAGAAGGGCCTTTCGATATCCAGATCAAATCAAAAGTCCAGCGCATTACCAAATTAATGCAACAATTGCATCTTAAACGCCCTAAGAATCCTTTTCATAATAACTGAAACACAATTCTTAATATAACGACGAAGCGATCCGAATACCGCAAGACGAAGAAGGAAGAAACATAAATAGACTTACAATTGATCAAGGGGATCCGAGTTCCAAACACCACCGGGAAAAACAGCGGCGCAAGAAGCGAGAGTAAGATTAATTGTACGACGAGAGAGCGAAACCCTCCATCCGTCAGAAACAAACCGACGGTCGACAGAGAACGGTTCGAAGAGACCATTGCAGACGACCGGAGCCCTAAGGAATGCAGAGAAGGCGAGCAGAAGTGATTAGAGGGAGAACGAAACAATTTGCACGCACATCTATAGAGGAGGGTTCCGGCATTACCCGATCGACAGCAGCCTGAGATCGATGGACGGTTCTCAGTCTTGCTTGCTCGGCCCTTCATTGAATCGAAAATCATGGCAATTGAAGGTGAGCCACGCTCCCCGCACGCCTCATATAGTTTTCTGGTCGCATAATAATTTAAAGCATACCCCATCTGCTGATGTTTTATATTTCTTATTATTTTATAATTAATTAATAAATTTTAATTGCAACATAAAGTTAAACAATATGTTTATTCAAATAAAAACAATGATTGTAATTCCAACAACATTTAGTCCGAATAAAAAAATTAAACGAACCGATTTCAATTCAATGTTTTAATTTAATTCAACAAAGGAGAAACTTTTGGGTATGGCTAACCATAAAGGAGCCGAGCTTGACCGAGCTTGATCGAGCTCAAGCTGGCTCTTGTTCGGCTCGTTTGAAATCAGCTCGTGTTCGAAACTGGCTCATGAATAGTGTGTTCGTGTTCGGTTCGATTTATATATTTGTGTTCGTGTCCGGCTCGTGTTCGGCTCGAAATTGACTCGTTAAAATTAAACTGAAAAAATAGATGTATAGTGCTAGATTCGAACTTGGATCAAATATATGCAAAATAAGACGCATAACCACATCACCGCAAGAGCAAATATGAATTTTTTTTTATTTTGATCTAAAATGAGCCGAACACAAGCAGTTAACACGAGTGAACAAAGAGTTGTTCGTGTTCAGCTCGTTCATAATTCGAGCTTTAAAAGCTTGTTCTCGTTCAGCTCCTTTACTTAACGAACGAGCCGAACATGAGCTACTTAACGAGTCGAACATGAGCAGTTTCGCGAACAACGAGCTTTTTTGACTGCCCTAACGGTAATTATAATTTTTTAGAATTCACTTATCTAAATATTATTGAATGTTTTAAAAATATTTTTTATTTACTTTTGAATTAAAAAAAGAAATTTACATACATACCACAATTTTTATGTATTTACATATCTAACACCCATATTTATTTATTTTTTTAGGTGTCATAAATTTATGAATGAAAAAAGGTGTATTTTTCATTTAAGAAGATAATGATTATGATATTTTTGATTTGATGTCAAAATATATATATATATATATATATATATATATATATATGAGAGTTTAAGTGTCTTATATGTAAATACATAAAAATTATGTGGTATTTATATAAATGTCCCAAATAAAAAAATTAAAAAGAAGGTACTCTTCTTCTCGTGCGGGTGTAACTAAGAACAACCAGTAAGTAACCACAACCAACTCTGTGAGACTCGCTCTGCTCGACTTACCAAGTGGCCTGTGAACTGAGCTTGAAGAACTAAAAAGTCAAACTCAAGCCAATTCCGACTCGACTAGTTTCCTTGTGAGCTAGCTCGTTTGAAAAATAATTAATAAAAGAATATACTAAAAATATATTAAAAATTGAATTTTTTTTATTGAAATTATTAAATATATTAAAAAAATATTTCTTAATAACCATCTTCTAAATAGTGCAAATTTAAATTAATATTTCTTGTCTATTTCATAATTGTTGAGTCTTAAATTATCTTTTAAAAATACACCCCTCGGGAATTAGAGTCGAGAGAAGGAGAGAGATTATAACAGATAGAGAGTTCAGGGGAAATGTCCTTTATGTGCTAATTTAATGACAGATTTGTGTTAATAATCTTGGTGAAGCACAACGGCTATCAATCGATAGAAGTGACTAGTTTTGATTGGCTAACCCAATGGGAAGCCTAGGAGGTGGCTGGGACCGTAAACAAGGTCCGCCAACCGGATACGATGACATCAAATGTCGATCAACCCAAGCAACTGGTCGTCAGATGTGCTAATGCAAATTATGCTCTCTGATTCGAGACTTCAACAGTGCGATCATCATCCACAATTCGATCCCTTTGAAATTCAAGCTGATAGTGTTGGTGCATACAATACTAAACAACCCAGCTCAAACTCTAGGAGTAATGCTCAAGCTCAAACTCGATTAATTAATTAAGCTCAAATCAAGGATAGCTCTAGCCCAACTTCACGTTACAACCCTATCAAAGTTCTTTACATCTGTACCACCCAATACCCATGCATTAACATATTAACAGTCAAAATTGATTCCTATCTTTACGCAAAAATTCAAATACAGTTTATACTTTGTAATTGCGTGGTACGCATGTAAATCTCTCTTTTAATTGAATATTAAACCAGAGAACAGAAAGAATTCAATAGAAGTAAACCTTTGTCTAATATGTACGAATCTATCACTTTATTAACATCTTATTAAATAACATCACACCACAAAAATAAAAATAATAAGTAGCTATCAAGACAAATAATTACAGTTCTGCAAAATCATTCCAGAGAGCTTCAAGTGATGACTGTAGGCTTATCCCTGCCTGCAAACTCTCTCAATTTCGACATGGATAGCGCCAAATCTGGGCATCAAAACGCACAAATGTATCAGCGAAATTGGATATAGCTCAATGTTAAGTTTCATTATAACAATCTTTAGCTTTAAACAAAAAATTTGAAGGTCTCTAAAGATGCATATTATGGTCATAGTCATTAAGAACTTAATGTGAAATATATAAAAAAGAAAATTTTTTCTACAGTTTGTTGCATGACTCACTGCATGCAACTCCCAAAAAGCTTTGAATGGCCACACAATCCGGCTTCCTCTTCGCCTCGTGTCATATTCTGATGTTGCTCGATATGTCGTCTTCTTCCCTTCAGCATGAGTAGAAAAAAAAGGTCCTTGCTCCTCGTAGCCTTTTTTGTTTCACTCCCTTCTATTGCCCCATGTCTTTATTGTCACAAGCGTGCCTTCCTCCCATATCCTCCAAATGAGACTAGTCATCTTAGTGTCTCAAAATGAGATGAATCAATTAGGGCATTATGTTTTTTTTAAAAAAATTATTATGAACTTTCCATTGGATTATATTTTTTCTGCTCACCATGTTGATCATGTCTTCTGCCCCTGAATCCCACATTGTCTTTGCCATAACGTTGCAGTGTCTCTAGCTTCTATTGTTTGCCGCGTGTCAGACGTGTGTTGGGACGTGTCAATATCTGACACTAGTTCAACAAACAAAGACACCATTCCAAAGAGTTTAGGCTTCAAAGAGCTTCATAAATCTTCCCATTTTATTCTAAAATCTTTTAGGATAATTTTGATCCACAATACTTCATAGATTCCTTGGATCTTTGCCCAAAATTCATTCAAATACTAGATTTAGTGACTATTATTTTCTCTTTGATTCTCCTAAGCGATTGGATTATCGCCAAAGAAAGCATGGTAACAGATAGCAGGCCACCTAGTCTAAGCTGAGTCTTCTAATTCTTTCGAATAAAATTCTATTTGTTGATGTGCTTTAAGGCATTGAAAAATTTTGTATTCTATTTGCAGCAGCATTGCTTTAGGACTATGTATAAATTGAGTTAGAAAACTTACAACATAAGCTATGTCTACTCATGTGTGAGCAAGAAAAATAAGCTTCCCAATCAATCTTTGGGCTCTTTATAAAATTTTAGGTGTTCACCTGCTGCTAGAGTTAGTGGCAATAGTCATTTGAAACTTCAGAGAGTTTGCATCCCAAATAAGTTGTGAGATCAGAATTTCCAAACTTATCAGTCGTTTACTTCAACTTTTAGGTAATATTTGAGTCTTCTTAGATCTTTTACTTGAAATTCTTTAGATAATCTCCGGTCATAATAATATCATCCACACACATTATAAATATTATAATTTTGACTAAGTTGGAATTTTTAATGAATGGAGTATGATGTCCAAAGCTTAGTTTGAGGTATAACCTTTCCATAACTTAGATGAACTTCTCAAACAACACATTCGGGGATTGTTTAAGCCCGTATTGTATTCGTGCAATTGTCTATGAAAATAACCTTCTAGATCCCATGTAAGCAAACCAAACATGTATTGGCTTGCATGGGTTCAATCAAATAGACTAACTTTCCCTTTCTTTTGACGCAAGCTTTCACAAATTGAGACCAAATAAGGTAATGATTTTCACTCATTTTGAATGAAGATTAAAGAGTTTGGTAATCACCTATGATTGTTTAATTAGGACTACTAGACTGGTTAACAACTTTCTTATATAGAAGACAATTATAGGTTACTCTTGGTAACTTCTAAAATGGAAACTACTAATTATATTAAAATTAAGGTCCATATTTGTCTGCTTGCATGCATTTATTTCCCTCAAAACCTCAAAAAGATTCCTAACCCATAAGAAGGTCCAGAAATTGCTCACTAGTCCATAAAAATGGACTAACAACTTTGCAATCCCACAAATTACCAAGCTAGCCTCTAAAACCGCCACAAATTAATTCCTTACCTTCTATAATAAATTTGGATTTCAAGGCACATTATCTCTAAGTGACGTCACTTCTACTTATCACCCCAATTAAATTTTAGGGTGCCAATATTTCCAAACCTATAAATATGACAATTTTTTGTTTCAAACATGTTTTGGAAATTAATAAATCTTATGCTTGTATATTAGGAAACTTGATTATATGAAACCTGATAAATGTATTCTCTATATTATGTAATCTAATTAGAAGAGACCTAATTACAGGATCTTTACTCTATTAGAGATATTCATAATATATAGAGATTGGAGTGTATAAAAATGTGTAAAATATATTCTTAATTAAGGTTTTAAATCTATCTATATCGAAAAAATTGACCGACAGTGGTAGCGACTAAGAAAAAAAGAGTTTTTTTACTTCACGTGGTAGAAGAGCAATGCACAACTCGTCGTTTCTAAATTTTCAGCTCGGCATCGTTCCTTGCACTCATCGTTGGAATCTTTCATTCGAATCATTCGTTAGTTTATGTATCTTCGTTCCCACGCATGGATTCGTTTGAATCACTCGTCGAAGACGTAAGATTAGGGCACCGATCAAAGCTTCTTTTGCTTCATCTTCATCCTACGATAGGATTAGGGAATCGTTCGAATCTTCGTCTTTTTGTCTTCAACCTATGATGTCGGTCGCTCGAGGGCCATCGTCCATCGCAGGTGGTCATCTCCTATGATGTTGTTCATCGCGTTTGCTTGTCATTGACAATCGTTGAACTGTTCATCGAGTCGTTCTCCTAAGTCTTGACATCAGTCATCTTTGATGCTTATCCCGCGCTTCAGCTCGTCC